GCGGGTTCATATCCTTTGACAGCATCATCGACGTCTCACATGTAGAAGCCCTATCCATCGCCCAGACTTCCAGAGGCCAAGACGGCGAAGCATAGGCTAGGGGAACGCGGACGGGTAATCAAGAACTGATCGTCTCGAAGGGCAGTATGGCGTGGAACACGAAGAGGGAGACGAAGACGGCGCGATCAAGGACAACACCGATTTGCTTCGGGTGGACAAATTCATTGATTCCAACGTTATTCCTTACACTTCTACCAGAGAAGAGCGATCGTGATACGGAGGCGAGTGGTTTTTAATAAGTCGCCCCGTATTTGTCTTCCTGTACACATCGATGAAGGGATGTTGACTGTGGCAACCGAGCGCAGAGCCTCGCCATTGACGGTGTCTAGTTTTAATCTCGTGAAACAACCTCCCCTCCCCCAGTCGATATTTACACGTTTGTCTCTCGAATATTTGCATCTCATGCCCATTCCTCACGCCTGACATACGTCTACCAAGTCAGAGATGACTGACGATTCAATATCAATTTAGTTCAGGTCTTGATACTTCCCACTTCCGCACATGCACTGCCCCATGACTTCAACTGATTCCAGGACTCTAACGCAACATGCAAGCACCGTCATAATTAGGGAGCTGATAATTGTTGACCAAAGCTCTCCAGTATGTCGCTGGCTGCAGTTCTCAACTCCTTGACAGCAATGGTGATCCCCTCTTCCTGCTCTAAACCTTGCATCTCCGGTCCAATTTCCAGTCCCATCTCCTGTCTCTTCCATTGCATCTCACGCTCCAGTCTTCCGAGCGCACGACCCACATTTCCAATGAGTTGCTCGAGATCAGATTTCGAAGCAAGCCGCATATACTTCTTTGTGTCATCCACAAGGACAAGAAGGAACTCAAAACCTCGTGTGTTCTGAATGTCATAGGGCATATGGTGCCACGCGCTTCTTAGCACGTCCCACCACTGCTGCTCTGTAACAGAACCGATCGATGTAACCGACGTCTGTTCATGTGCGATTCGGAGGAGGATACCAGCTATGTAAAAGGCATGCCGCGTGGGTGATTCGGGATTGCAGTACTCTGGGATCATGCTGATGCATCGATCAATGTGGCAATCCCCAGACAAATGGGGGTGCCAGTCAGAATTCCTCGCGAGGGCAAAGACTAGTTCCAGATAGCACAAGTCACGGGCATAATCGAAAAAGCGGTCAGGACTGTCATTGGCGGGTATTGTACCTGGGTGCGGAGAAAGCACGGACAGAATAGCGGGGGAGAGTTTGGTCAAAACTATGTCCCGTAGCCTCGCATCATCAATGGTATCGATTGAGGCTATTTCTTCTCGGGCACTGTGAGCAGCGCGAAGGGCGACATGGCGTAAATGGGGAGGCATGGTACTGCCCATGCAGGCAACGAGCCTCTCGATGAACATATGTTGTTTAGCGGGGCTGCAGTGCACCCCCATGCTGCCCAGTATCAAAAGGATGTCATATGCCGCTTTGTGGTCGTGGGAGTAGATGTAGTCTAGGTAGTCCACCAACCAGTCGAAGTCTTCTGGTGAGTGGGAATCGCTTGGCAACAACTGGAGATACCACAACCCGACAGGGTCAGGGTTCATGTCTTCAGCGGCAAACATGAAGTGCAGTGCATTTTGCAGAGCATCCAACAATTCTGAGGGAGAATTTTGTTCGGATGACCTTGCTCGTGAATAAATCTTCCTGCACACATCCAGGTTCCGCATAGGGCGAGACGAAAGAATAGAAAGATGTCCAGCAAGCTCGAGGATACGACAGATGATGTCGAGGAGGTGCCATGCCCGACGTGTGACTCCTGTGCTATCTTTGTCGAGTTCACCTCCATCCCATGCCCAGAGAGCCTTTTGGAATTGCGCCACAAGGGACTCCCTGAGTCGAGGGAGAGCAGAACTACACGGTTTCTTTGTTAATCATAGCAGAAAAGCCACCAAATGAATCGATGGCACCTTTTATCGATCCGAACTATGTCTTTCTTGTCAACCTGAGCCCCAACCATGACGCAAGCAAGAAGTGTACAATTGGCTATTATTTGATCCGACGGTGAGGATGGAGAGGATAGTAATTTTGATATCACTTTTGTGGCGAGTCTTTCTCCGTTTTCATTCGCTCGCCCGGTAAGAAAGTGATAAGAGAGGGAATGTGAAAGCCACTCCAGGGCAGAGTCAGGACAATCATCTAGGGACCAAAAAGGAGCCACAACACTACGGCGACCCTCCAAAAGACAAAGATCCATAGTCGCGGTGAGCATCATCTCGTCGGCTGTACGTATGGGCTGCAGACTTAGCCACATCTGAAGAAACACGTCATAGTCCCTTCTCCCGCGACTGAGAAATTCACCACAACCAGGATATGCCTGAAGAACACGTCCACAGTATAAATGACTTAGAGCCACTGTACATGCAGAAGCTTTGTCCTCCAACGACGGTACGATTCGGCTCTGAATGTCGACACAACTTGTAAAGATGTCATACAGCTGAGGCAGTATGTCCGAGATGTCAAGATCCAGGGGCCATTCAATCTGTGGAACAAGACTGACAGCAGTGAGAAACACTTCAGGATCCGTGGATGTCACGATCAGCCACTTGACACTAGGCGCTTCGAGATTGCTGGTGGGTATGTCCGAGAGGTCCAGGGTAAAGGTGCATTCAGTCTCCGCCAAAACATCCAGATCCTGGTCGAGCGGTTGTGCCTCCGAGTCTACAACATTTGCCGAAGAGCGCGGAACAAAAGAACGCAGCCCTTTGTGAAGCGCGGTGGATAACAGCTGAAGAGAGCGTCGTACAAATGCGCCAGTAGCACGCACAGGGCCTGGGGAGTGAATAAGCACTAGGTATCCTGTATAAGAGTAAATAAGAACGTTACCTGCCAGTACTTCGGAAAACCTGGCCCAACTTGGTCTGAGGGCAGCAAGCAATCGTTGCAGCACGACTGACAAGATACAGTCAAAATTTGACCATACGTAAGAAAACATGGCTCACCGTGCGCTGACGTCGTGAGCCGCTGGAAATACCTAGAGACTGGTTCAAATATCAGGCGTAGAGCTCCTGTGATATTGATTGAGACTGAAAGTAATAACCATTGAATTTATAAAATGGCCTTACTGTCGGTATGTAACATACGCAACACCGTCGATATCGGGGTCTGGAACGGACAGGCGGGAGATATCAAACATGCCATCACTGTCAGAGAATAGAATAGAAATCCGAAGACCGTTGTGGCAATGATCACCCAAGCGATGCTGCGCTGCTCGCACCACATGTTGGCGCCGAGGGCGACACCAAAGAGAAGAAGGGAGATCTGAAGCAAGACCGGAAAGGACTGCACAACAGCATCGAAATACCATGAGACGAGGCCGTCGAACTTCTCTTGCCTGCGCTTTCCTCGTTCCTCCTGCGAGCCGCGACCATATCTGTTCGACTTGTAGTATCCGAGCCACTGCTTGCCTAGCACGGCTCCGAATGCTGCTAGCAAGCTCATGGACAAGCTTGCGTATGCCACCATTTGGATCCTTACGACTGGCGCAGCCGGCGACCACGTAGATCCTGGGTCTGCGGGAGTGGAACCTGCTTTAGCGAAGTTGCCGAGTCCGATGTACACGAGTTGCTTCAGAAGGGCATTCGTGGTGTCGCTGGGGTCGGGACTGAGATTGGACTCCATCGCCACTATAAAAGACGTGCTGACAGCTGAGAAAAGACCGGACTGATCAAGTATCAGTCTTAAACGGGTCAAAGATAGGCACGCGAAACCTACGAAAACCAAAACGATGTCCATGTCGCCGGTGTATCGCTCGAGGAACTCGCCGTCGTGTTCCTCCGCGACTCTTTTGTACACTCCCCAGAAACGAGACCGATTGTCCTTGCCACTCTTGGATACGATCGTCGAGTCTTGGAGAACATCTAATACTTGCTTCATGATATTTGTTCTGCGTGTAAGGTGTCGTCAGCTGCGATCACTTGGCATATTTTTCGCTCACAATTCGCCGAGATTTGGCTGGTCCTTCTCCGCCACAACCTTTTCCGCCTGGCTGAGATAGTTCATGAACTTGTTTAAAATTGCCATTGATAGGTATTTACGATACTAAATCACCCTGCGGTGCAACTTTGGAAGCACTTTCTTGTTCGTGAGGCTCTGATGGCTGGAAAGGCCCAGTGTTCGCGCTGCAGTTCTGATGAGGAGTGACACATAGTTATCAGTGCAGAATCACTTACATCCCTGATGGTAGCTCCACTGCTGAAGGTCCGCCATTTTCCTGCTCCCTATCTCGCTATTATATGGGTGACGGATCCCCGGAAGCGGCCACTTACTCTGAAGTCCCCAGGGTTCCTGAGGTATCTTGTTTTTGAGCAGGCTGCTCATTTGTATGGACACGCTGGCCCTCGGCGCCGTCAGTGCTTGATGCTTTTGACATGAGTTAGATTCAAAATCAAAGCCAGTGGGATGAAGAAGAGTCTGAGCGCACAGAGATAAGCAGTGGTGTACAGCAAGCTGGTTAGGTGCCTGCAACTGTCATGAACACGTGTAGGACATTGTTGACGTTGAAAAGCATTGCCTTGTCTGAGGGGTAAGTTGCAAATGAAAACCTGACCAACATAAGCACAGGGTGCTGTTTGAATGTCAATGACGTACTTTGTTTTCACATGCCAAGCCAAACTCGAGCAGCACGTCCGTACGTGTTACTAGGACATGGGCCACAGCAGGCTGCTTGGCTTTTATCTTAGTAACGCGTTCGACGAGATGATTTATATCTGAGAAGACACGATTAGCAGAATATGCACTCACGCCGATCCAGTTCAACGAGGATCACATCGGCCTCACCTCGGTCAAGCACTTCTTGGGCAATCTTGACATTGGTCATTGAGCTGACAAATGATAAGCTCCAGGAACCGTATCAGCGAAGTTGACGTCCGTCATATAGAGTACACTGCCAGGTCTTCACATCGCACATCCCTACAGCGGGAGCAGATCATTCCCATGATAGTCATTCAGAACATATCCATCTCAGACCCCAACGCACCCGCTGAAGTGCGTCAGTGGTCCTGCCCAGTTTCGTTCATCTCAATATTGACCGCCCACAAGGGTTGTGTAGGTCCCGTTAGTTTCAACTCTTGTTTTTTTGGTGGTGCAGACTGATGAATGGCCTAACATTTGCTTCTGTGCGTGATTGTTATTTGACGCACGCTAGTAGCATCGACAAGACGTATCAGAGCATCCCAGACACCTTCATCACGCTGCATTCCTAGGATGTCCTCAAGAAATTAGCTATGGAGGTACGTGCTATTCCCCATACTAATCAATTGCAATTCTCAAGTCCTAGTCGCAGTTCCAGACCCGATACACATCCCAAAATGTTCCGCCACGCAGCACTTGCTAAAGAACCTCCAAGCTGCAAGTGTAGGTATCATCACTTCGTGTGAACAGGTAGCTGCGCCTTATGAAGGCAGGTTCACGTGTTTTGACAGCATCGTCGACTTTTCAGATGTAGAAGCGGGCTCCATCGCTCAAACTTTTCAGAAACGGAGGCGCAGCTTTGACAAGTCGTCATAAACCATCCCAGGTACCTTCATAGTGCTGCATTTCCCCGGACGTCCTTGAGAAATTGGCTACAGAGGTATGTATCATTCATACTACTCGACCACACCACTGAAATCCTCGTCGCAGTTCTGGACCCGATGCGCGTTCAACAATTCTCTCGCATTGCTTCGCAGCGGCCAGCTGCTGACGAACCTCCAAGCCGCAGCCCTACGTGTCGTAGCTTCGTCTGAACACACAACTACGCTCTGTGAAGGTGAGTTCATGTCCTTTGACAGCATTATCGGTATCTCACTTGTAGAAGCCCCATCTATCTGGACTTCCAGGAAACGGAGGCCGAGACTGCGAAGCCTACGCCACGGAAATGCAGACAGCTTATCAAGAACTGACCATCTTGAAAGGCAGAATGACGTGGTGCATGAGGAAGGAGATGAACATGGCGCGGGCGAGGATAGCACTGATTCGCTTCCGGTGGACAAATCTATTGATTACAATGCTATTCTTTACACCTCCACCAAAGAAGGGCGATTGTGATATGGGGATGAATGGTTTTCAATAAATCTGTGTTTATCGTCCTGTCTTTATCTTCCTGTGCATATCGATCAAAGGATGTGACTGGGCAGCCGAGCACAGAATCTCGTTAGTGACAGTGTCTAGTTTTAATGTCATGGAACAACCTTCCATGCTGGTCTCCCGAATATTTGCATCTCATGCCTGTTGTTCCTCAGGCCTCATCGATGCATCCCTGACATATGTTGCCCAAGTCAGAGATGATGGATGATTCAATATTGATTTCATTCAGGTCTTGATACTTCCTGCTTCCACACATGCATTGCCCTATGACTTTCCATGAGTCCAGGATTCTAACACATGGGTCATAATTACAGGGCCAATAGTTGTTGACTGAAGCTCTCCAGCATACTGCTGGCTGCAGTCCTCAACTCCTTCACAGCAATGATGATACCCTCTCCCTGCTCCAAATCTTGCATCCCCAGTCCTATTTCCAGTCCCATCTCCTGCTGTTCTCTCTATCACACATAAACAGAGATGACTAACCTTTGCCTTAGCCCATCAGAATTGGATTACATGGACTGGAAGCATGTTATATGATCATATAAGACCACAATAAATAGGATTGGGTCAGATGGCAAGGTATATACTGTTGAGATATGCACCTAGGTTCATCACACCATCACACGCCTGGCGAATCAAACCTATTTTTCATAACGGTCACACCAATTTTGAGGCTGTTGAACCTAAATTGTGACAAGTGGTAAAAATGCAAAAAAAAAACATCTAATGCATCCAAAAGTCTTTGTACTGAGTGTTCACAACATGTCTGCACTTGCCACAGCCCTCAGCCTCAACCTCCATAGACCCATCAGCCATAGATTGAAGCCCTGTCATGTCATCCAGTACCCCTCACTCATAGCTCTCCAACTTGTTATCCACCAGCAAATTACCCAAATCATCAGTGCTATAGCCATGAGGGACAGGTGATTCACCTAATGCAATGTGTTGCAGAACCATATCCACCAAAACATTGCTAGGATCAAGCTCGACATCTGCAGCATGCATGAAAGGTGGCTCTACTTCTTCGTTGGCTTTTGGAGTCTTATATTGAGCCATTTTGATGCATTCCCAAGTCATGGTGTCGTTTTTTTGCACATCACATAGTGCATGAAGCACTTCATGACTAGTAAGGCTCTTGAATAAGAGATTGAATGTTGTGCCAGCCTTACACTGAAAAAACAACTGCAGGAGTGTTTTAACATCAGTAAGTAAAATGAGGACAATGCAAGTGACATACCTGTTTGACCACATCAGGCTTGTTGATAGCATGGTAACCATTGATGAGCCACTATAAAGATCTATCACAGAGTGTGGGTAATGTTGTGTCGAGTCAGATGACATGTGCAGCTTCATCTTTCTTCAGCAACAACAAAGATTCCTCAACAATATCAGCATGTTGAGATCGCTTGATGGCAAGCTTGAATGGGTGTTGGATGCTAACATCACATGGCTGAGCAATTCCAGTGCAGCTGCCAGGAAAAAAGCAGTACTTGATCCATGGGTACTGCTGATCAAGCCAAGTGTGAAACTGCACAGACTTGTGTACTGACCAAACATCCAGCTGTAGGATACATTCCTGGTCATCAGGAGCCCCAACGAGCTCCTTCTGTCTTGTCCAGTAGGGAACTAGAATATTGCGAACATAATCGCACATGAGCTGGAATGTGGACCAATAGGTATTGGTATTGGAGAAGCACAGCTCAAAGCCCAAGTCTTGTGTGTCCTTGAATTGTGGTGTGGTTTTTGAGGGGGGCAAACGAGCAGTTTTGCCACAATAGATGACCTGGAATGGAAGAGCATCCCCAGAGGCAGAGATTCTAACGAGCACAGTGAATGCTTGTTTTTCTTCCTGTCCAATCACTGTGACTTGCTTGGAACCAACTTCCTTGTAAGTAGCGGTGTTTGCAGGTTGATACATGATGTTGGTCTGGTCAATGTTGACATAGAAGGAAGCATCAAAGATCGCACAATCACGGATAGTTAAAGTCAGATGATAAAATTGGTCCAGACAGAGACTCAGTACATTGAAATTTTGAGCCATCCTTGGCGGTGGCCTCAAAGATTTCTGGGCAAGAGACAGTGATGTGAGCAATAATTATACCATGACAACACATTGTGTCCAAAGCCACGCCAACTGCACACAGAGCACGGAGATCTTCGATGATGGTCTTTGTGACTTCAGGATACTTTGCAAGGATGCCTGGTAGTGTTGCAGTCATCAAGGGAAGGTTGCCCTTTTGAACATGAGCAAGGACACTGGCATGCCATACTGGCTGTGTCCCACTTTGGTCAATCCACCTTCCTATAACTTGGGCAGAAATACCATGAAAGCGGGAGGGATCGACTCACTTAAGCTCATGCTCAATCTCAATCGGTGACATTCCATAGCCGACACGAATGGCAGCTGTTTTGATGGTCGGCCATAAAAGAGGGCTCTGCCAGTTGACACGATGAGCCTCTGTGTCCTCCCACTTGCGCTTCTGGCCTGAGGTACATTTTTGCATGCTGCAAGCATGCCTTTGCAATTGACGGTATGGGTGTGAAGCCTCAGAAATGGTGACTGCTAGCAGTTGGGGAGTATGATCATGAAGAACAGATTCTATGGTTGGTTTCTGATGACAGACCATGTGAGACATAAAGCACGGCAATAGGAATGAAAGTTATGCTTACCTGCTTGGCATCTTTTTCACAGGCTCGCTGTTTTCTCTTATGTTCAGCTGCCATTTCACGCTTTCAAGCAGCCTTCTCAAACACATCAAACTTTTCCTAGCAACGGGCCTGCTCCTGCTGATCCTGGTCCTTGAGCTCCCAAGTGGAAGGCTTCCAGGCAAGCTTTAAATGCTCATCACGTGAAACTGTCGAGAAAAACTTGAACAGACTGGTGCTCAGATCTGTGTTGGTGGCATGGAGGTTGAGTTTTGGTTTTTGCTGTGGATGATGCATAGGCAGAGTTGGGGGGGATGGTGGCTGAGTTTCTTGTATCTCAACATCATCACTGTCTGAATATGAGCTGTCATTTGGGTTGTCGTTGGGATCGGAGAGCTGCAACACATGAAGAGTGAGTCTCAGATTTGCATCACCAGGAATGAGATATCCATACCTCGAGGTGATCATAAACAATATTAAGAAATTCCTCCATACGGAGGGAAAAAGCTCTATTGTCAGTGAACAACGGATCTTGAAACAAGGCATGCTTGATAGTGTTTAGAGCTGCGATACCACATGAGAATGAGTCGAGCTGTTCACTGTGCTGGAGTGTGGTCACCCAGTTGAATTTGGCAAAACCATGATAGCCCAGCCAATGATGTATGGCATCAATGTCTTCGTTAGGCCAACTCCAGCCAAGGGAGTCGGCATAGGAGATGCTTTGGTTTGTAGCATTGACCTCAATAGCAGCCCAATGAACATTGTCGATATTGATGGGAAGGAGGATACGATGAAGTGCACCCTCATGTAATGCAGAGCCAATGGTACGAAGGTGAACAAAAGCCTTGTCTGTCTCGTAGCTCTTCCACTGTTTATCGCTAAGCCGAAGGACATCTGCAAAGTCGAGAGATTCAACCAAAACAGACTGGAGGTCTTCATCATCTGATGCTTGCATATGCTGGACCACTACAGCAATCATGCTGTCCAACACACGACTGTGAATTAGACATGATCCTAACAGCGGTCGGAGCTTGGTGCTCCTCAGATCTGTCTGAGCACCAAATCCCTTGAGAGGGGCATCCCATGGAAGGCTCTCTAAGACATCTAGAACCTTGTCAATAATTTCCAACTCTTGTCCATCAGTAGGAACAACATCAAATCTGTCGTAGATCCAGTCGTGTGATGCACACCAATCACGTTGATTCTCAAGTGCATGTGACATAGCGACCCAGTATGACACAACCCACATTGGAAGCGGGTCATTGGGGAACGAAGGATGGATCACTGATTTATCTCCATCTCGAAATGCATCTCTAGCACGATTGCAAAGGGACAAGGCTGTTCGAAATGGTGGAACAGGTCATGAAACAAAGTCCATGGGCAACTGGAGCAAAGGGGACTGTTTGTAAAAAACAATTCTAGCAGCTGAAACGCTGTTTTCTAACACTGTAGGCAGGTTGATAAGCAGTAATGCAGCGATGGAAAGGCTGCCCAAAGGAGCAATTGAGAACTGTGCAGGCACAGATAACACATCCTGGAACTTAGCCTCTGAGGCAACATGAAGGTCAGGCATGGTGTGGAAAACTTGGACGGGAAATGTTTCAGACCATGTCTATCTCGTGGACTGAGCTATGGCTCGCTCACCAAACATTGGAGGATCCACACTGACAAGACTTTACCATAACATAGCAAGAAGACATTGCCATGTTGCCAGACGGAAGTCAAATTAGAGATGAAGCTCTTGAGGTGAGCATCTCCAGCCACGGGTCATGAGGATCACTGTGGCCCCTTAGCACTGCATGTATACAAGGGAATGTGTCTACCCCAACATTGGTCATTGAACCTAAGTGCAGTGTGTCATGCATCACACCCCCCTGCAAACCTTCGAACCTAATGTTCACTTGGTCACACCCAGATTGGGTTGAACCTAGGTGTGTATCTTGACAGTATGTGAAACAAGAAGGGTGCTAGTCCTCTCTACATATGTGTGATAGAGAGGAGAGCCTTTTCTTCCTTGTTACTGACCTGAGATGAGCTGTCTTGAGAATGTTTCTCACAGTGTGTGAAGAGACAGGGAATGCAATGGTAGAATTGATGTAATAGGTGACCTGGACAGCATTATCAGCCTTTCCTGTAGTGATATGTTGAATAATAGCCCTCCTATCAGTAGAGGTGAGCTTGGATGGACACCCTTCACAGAAGTTTTCCTTGTCTGTGTGACTTTCTTTGATGAACTTGGCAACAGTGGACTTGGATACTCCAGTTCTAGAGGAAATTTGACAAGCAGAGAGGCCAGAATAGGAAAGAGAGAGGAT